TGTCACAACAAGAACCAAGAAGCATCAACCAACCATACCATCAATTTTGTGCCCTAACATTGTAACTAATGTTCATTTATATGTTGCCCTATGCTTTCAACAATAGGATTACATTGCTAAATGTTTCTCTGTGCCGATTTATCTTGATCGTATAATTGATGTTATTACGTGAACTTAGGTTGCCCTGCTGGCTGGTTTGGATCTCGGTGTAACTACAAATGTCGATGTGTCAACGACAAGTGTGACAAGAACGGCCAGTGTATAGACCCTTTCATATGTCTGGCTGGATGGTTCGGCTCCGAATGCCAATACTGTATGTATTTCCGTGGAGTCTTATTTACTTATACTTATAAACCTGTACCCACTGTGTCATATTACAGTTGTAGGTTACTGCATGGGATCTTACTCCTGTACATACTGTCAAATCATCAGAGAAACGTCACCCATTAAGTGCCGATTGGTCTATAAAACATAGGTCTAGCCGTATATTCCCAATACTAATAAAGGCGTAGAAAAGGGACCTGACCTGTCAGTTAACTTGAAGACGTACCACGGCTTGATATCGTGTTCCAACTTAGCATCAAAGATGTACATTTCAGACATCTAATAACTTTAACCAGCTTTCATGGCCAGATGGACTTGACTGTCTTAAACCGCAGTCATTAAACACATTGTTACAATATGCACCAACAAAACATCCAGCACACAACTTACCCTTGTATAAATCAAATTCCGTGGTGCCAGTGTAGTTCTCTTGATTACAACAGTGAAATATTCCACAACGCCTACAGACTACTGTACATTAGACAGGTTGTTGGGCGGTGCAATGTGACTCTGTCTAGAGTTTGATTAAGCTCATCACATTGCTGTACTGTCGTTCTCAGGTACATATATTACTAGCTGTGCCCGGCCACGCGATGCTGTGGCATAGTTTGGCTAGATGGAAAAGAAAGAAAATAGAAATCGCACGTGTCTAATATGCTTACTGTCGCAATCATTGTCTGTGCACATACAGAGATAATCATAGATGCCCCCCCCCCCCCACCCCTCCCAAAATCCACCTACTATTCGCTCACTCATCAAAAGCTTTTAAAAAAGAAAGACAATATAGAAATCGCACGTATCTAATATAGGTAATGTCGCAATCATTATCTGCACAGATATAGAGATAGTCTGGTTTGCCACTTTAGAACACGCAAAATATAATTGCGTCTTTATATTAGTGGTCGTTTAAATGGTATTATTAGCACAGTAGAAAAATTGTTATTTGGTTATCACATACTAAAGCTGTTTGTATTTTTTTTTTTTAGAAACAGAAGTAAAGCTTACTACTGTAGTTGTAAATAACCAAGTAAGTCGTTTAAAAATTGAGAATAGTGGAGTTAGCGTTAGTAAAATATAAACAAATTGAGAAATGAAAACTTTAAAATCATGCGTTAAGCTCTTTAGGTTATCACTTTCTGGCATCACCCTCTCCCCTCCCCCATCCACCGAATACTGCTCTCTGCCTCATGGCAGGATTTGAAAGTCAATAGCCGACGATATTTTTTTTGTAACTGACGTTGATACTCCTGTCCGTCCGGACTAAAATAGGGAGCAGAAATTGTAATGAGCAGTAAATGTAGCTAGAATAATAGTAACCACACAATCCTTCAAGTACCAATACAACTACTACCACCACCGCCTCCACAATAAATAAAATAAGGTCACTGCTATCGGTTTTACCGTCAGAGTAGACAGGGAGTCGTGAGCTAGAGGATTTGGCCCCGACAAGGCTAATGCTGTCGGCACGGACCGGTCAGGTTAGGATGTGTAATTTCACTCCCCGACAGAAACAATGCCATAACCTTACCGGCGGTCTCCGGCATGACAGCACTACCATGTAACCGCCCAGTAACAACTACAACTACTGCTGTTTTGAGTGGGTAAGGCAGTTACTATGACTTAAAGCTCTGTTACCAGTTTATGATACCCTACCCCACCCCTCTCCCAATTCACCGCATACTAACAGGGCTATATATAAATGACACTAAGAATAGAAATATTAGTTTCGAAGATTTTCACTACAAATGTCGTCCCCGATCTCTAACAATGACAGGTAGAATTTCAAACTATGACGCGCTAAAATTCCGGTATCAGAACAAACATATCCTGAAAATTTTAGCTAAATCGGTTCAGTAGTTTCTGAGTCTATAGCTCATAAACAAACACACAAACATTGATTGTTACATGTATGGATAAGTTATTATAAACACACCAGACGACAAACGGCATTTATTGATCTTTATTAGCTATGCCAACCGCTACACTGTCCAGTTGCTCTTCTTTGTTCTTGTGGCTGCTACGCTTGGCTGATATATAACAACAGTTCCAACTATCTCACCCTTTAAATCTCTCTGCTGTCACCTTTCAGACAATGCACTTTGATCAGGCTAACATTTTGTTCATTGTACCTGTACATAGTCAAAACTTGCAGTCAGTAGACATTCATTCCTAATCTCGAACAATTACACGTGGTCAGACGAGACCGCATTCTTCTCAGCTGTTCTGTTGCATTCGACCGCACACATCTAGGTCCAAACTTTAACTGAGTTTCTATCCTCTCTGGGTTTACATCTTCCGTTCTAGTCTCACGCTTTCCTCGTACCTCTATTCACCCAACACGGGACACTCGAGACATGCTTATCTCACTTTCCTCTTGTTTCACCAGGCCTCTGACTTAGTTCCCCCCAATCGGGAACTCTCTGGGATTTCCCCGGGAATTCACCTCATTACATTCCCAACTTTCATATCGGAAGCATATTCCCGATGACTCTTTCCTTCCTTACTTGCTCGTTCAAAATCCAAGATTCATTGCAAGAACAGAACGTGTGTATATCCTACCCCAAGGCCACTTCTTCTTAAATAGTATTCCTTTTCATCACCATCGCGTTTAAAATAGATACGAGAAAACGGTCATGCTTGGCCATCTCAGCAATTTTTTTTTCAGCTCCGCTAATTCTTTGTACTTCTTGGCATTTATAACTTGTCCTTATAATTCTGATTTCACTTAAATGTTTGTCCATGGTCTGGAAAAGTTCCAGCCTTTGGTTTCTTTAATTGCAACATTATCTAGTAAAATTTGTTTTAGTCAATGTATCAGTGGTGGTTCTTTCATTTGCACTGTGGAACTAGAGCTCAGCTTTTTGTATTATCACACAGAAATAAACTATATGAAGTGCTTCAGGCGTGACAAGATGGGATTAAAAACCGAAATGAGGCCGTAAAGGAAGAAGTCGACACTGAAGCAGTTAACATATAAATACATAGATAGCAAATCAGATAGTTTGACTGCTTTGAAAGAATGCGTTGTGACGCCATACCACAAAAGTCATACACCAATAGAGGAGAAGGACATAGAGCAAGAGGCAGACCAATAACATCAGAGATGCGTTAAGTAGCACGTTGTGTCTATGGTCTTGGCTGTCAGAAAAGCAATAAGCAGAACTTTCAATAGCCATCGACACCCGCTGAAGTAAAAGATGAAGTGAAGAAGAAGAAAAAGAAGAAGAAGGAGAAGAAGAAGAAGGAGAAGAAGAACAAGAACAAGAATATAAAAAAAAAGAAGAAGAAGAAGAAGAAGAAGAAGAAGAAGAAGAAGAAGAAGAAGAAGAAGAAGAAGAAGAAGAAGAAGAAGAAGAAGAAGAAGAAGAAGAAGAAGAAGAAGAAGAAGAAGAAGAAGAAGAAGAAGAAGAAGAAGAAGAATAAGAAGAAGAAGAAGAAGAAGAAGAAGAAGAAGAAGAAGAAGAAGAAGAAAAGAAGAAGAAGAAGAAGAAGAAGAAGAAGAAGAAGAAGAAGAAGAAGAAGAAGAAGAAGAAGAAGAAGAAGAAGAAGAAGAACACGAACAAGAACAAGAACAAGAAAAAGAAGTACAAGAACAAGAAGAAAAAGAAAAAGAAGAAGAAGAAGAAAAAGAAGAAGAAGAAGAAGAACAACAACAAGAAAAAGAAAAGAAAAAGAAGAAGAAAAAGAAAAAAGAAGAAGAAAAATAAGAAGAAGAAGAAGAAGAAGAAGAAGAAGAAGAAGAAGAAGAAGAAGAAGAAGAAGAAGAAGAAGAAGAAGAAGAAGAAGAAGAAGAAGAAGAAGAAGAAGAAGAAGAAGAAGAAGAAGAAGAAGAAGAAGAAGAAGAAGAACGAGGAAAAGAACCCCAAAAAAAAAGAAGAAGAATAAGAAGAAGAACGAGGAAAAGAACCGAAAAAAAGAAGACGAAGAAGTTGGAAGTTCACAGAGGATGTGATTGGAGCTTTAAATTTTGTGTTTTCTATAACGCTCTATGCGGGTGTGTAGCAGCTTTGGGGAAAGATAGGCAGGAATATTGATACTTCGTTCAATGTACTGGTCTTAAAACATAATGTTCATTAAAATTAGCTTTTATTAAATTTAACACGACTTGTTTCTCAACAGCCGACGTGACCAACAAAACGACAAGCAACGCAGTTCTGACAGATGGCAAAGAAAGTACATGTGTTGCTTCTTCAGCCCCTGACACGGTGACCATCGCTATTCAGTCTATTTTCTTCACCTGGCTCAGAGTCTGTGTGCAAGATAAGGGTAGGCAGTGATCATTTTTTTAAGCACCCCATGCTTCAAATCCTTTTTTTTTTTAAAGGGAGGGGGGGGGGGGGGGGGGGGGGGGGGGGGGTTGGGTCTTTGGAGGGGTTTTTGTCGGGGTGAGAATATCTGTTATAATTACAGGTCAAATATGGATTAACATAAAGTCGTACATAAGAAAAGCCATATGAAAGGCAAAAGGAGATTTCTTAGCACCAGTAAATTTACGGAGGGCAAAAGAAATTGAAGCTTACACTCAACTAATGCTGACGTCAAAACAGTACGGCTGTATGGAGGGAAAACATGGGGAATAGTTGAACCAACTGCTAATCCACTATAAACATGCATTAACTGGTGCCTGCTCAGGATAAGGGGAAATTAAATCGGATGTTACTGATCTAGTGGACCAAAAGGTGAAGAAAAGACCCTGGCTAAGGACAGGACACACGTTGAAAAAAAAAAAAAAAAAAAAACGTGAGAACAATATAACTTTAGTGTCTTTGTACTGGAACCTACACGGGCATATAAATAAAGGCAAACACATAACAAAAATGGAGAAATTGAGGTGAGCTGCACGCAACAGCAAAGTATAGAAAAAAAAAAGAAGACACTTCAATTATTTTTATAAAAGAGCTTGCCTATGAACCGTTCAGTTTATATCAAGGCATGGCGAGGGAAACAGTAAGTTCTGGGGAAGTAAAGACGGCCCTCGAAATTATGACCACATTTCACATCATGTGATGACTGGTTTAAAACAATACGGGGTGCTCTTCCCATATGCCCGATGCGCCAAAAGCTTGAAAAGGGATCTTTAGTTTTTACCTACTGTCGATGAGGCGCAGACACAAACACCGAGAGAAGAGCACCACTCAGCTTTCTCTATTCGGTTTTTTTTTTTTTTTTTTTTGAGACCTTAAGAAACTTGTGATTTGACCGCGAAAAAAATTGTAAAAAAAATTATTATTATAATAATTACAATATGACTAATTGCTAACACATCAATTATGTCACGGAAATAATTTGACATGTATAAATTAATACTTTCAAACGAAAATTCTACACATGGTTAAGGACGTTGAGTAAAGTCCTTAGAATATTTCTAACAGGATTCTTTACATCTACCACCCCTAACCCCCTGCCCCCGCCACTCCCCCACCCCACCTCCTATATTTTTTTCTTTATAAAAAGGCTTTTGTACTTGGGACGTTTAGATTAGACAGACAAACAGATAGATAGATAGAACGAACTGACAATCTTCATTTTTAAAGGGTCACGAATTGGGTACGCAGACCGTGTTACATTCGGCCCTTCCAAACAACCATCTTTTACCAAGTAATTGTATTTTAACAATAACGGAAGTCATGTTAATTTAATAGTATAAATATTACGAAAATCAATTTAAAAAAAAAAGAATGTGTGGTAAAATGCATGCGCATAATGCATACATACATACATACATACATACATACATACATACATACATACATACATACATACATACATACATGCATGCATGCATGCCATGCATGCATGCATGCATGCATGCATGCATGCATGCATACATACATACATACATACATACATACATACATACATACATACATACATACATACATACATACATACATACATACATACATACATACATACATACATACATACATACATACATACATACATACATACATACATACATACATACATACATACATACATACATACATACATACATACATACATACATACATACATACATATACATACATACATACATACATACATACATACATACATACATACATACATACATACATACATACATACATACATACATACATACATACATACATACATACATACATACATACATACATACATACATACATACATACATACATACATACATACATACATACATACATACATACATACATACATACACATGTGTTTGTTGTCCATTAAGATGATGATGACCACTCTTTTTCATCAAGTTTGAATACGAAGATGACTGAATATTGCCAGACTAAAAACTAATGTTGTACGTCCACAAGTAACGAAATATACGACACATTTAGGCGACATAGTGAAATATTGCGCCTTTTTGGCTAGGCCAAACATAGCACTTTCAAAGAAATCATGAAAACCACATCACCAGACCTCATTCTTACACTCTGTGAATGTTGCCGCAACCTATTAAAGGACTCATTTCCCTGACGCCTAATCAGAAGAGACTTATAAGTCGTTACAAGAATTGTCTCAGAGCGCTCATCAAAAAGAAACTTTCCTTAACAAGGGAACATCGGCGGTTTTCTCTGTGCTTTATTTGCTCTAAAAATTACCATGGTAAATACGGCTTACCTTTTTTTAAATGTTAATCGACAAAAACATTATCCACCACCGACAAAGATACACAAATGCAATATGTCCTGGAAAACAAAGAGTTGGCACTGCATGACAATGCCCGATTATATCAACAAACGTTTCAGTGTTACTTGAGTCGTCTGATCAGTACAGCAACAAGTCGCTGGGCGTCGTTAATATTAAAACAGTGTCGCCACCTACAAAGCATCAAAAGCAACAACTGCTCGCAGTCTGCATTGAAGAAAATATTGCTATTGTACAGATATTTCCCTTCCAGAAAGCGAACTGTCTCTTACTTAACTTGCGCTCTACTAGTACTGGTCAAGTTCTAAATTCGAATATTTTTGTAAGCATTTTTTTCGATATGGCTCAAGATGGGAGTGCTCCTGTATGTTAACAGACTTGTTTGTTCCGGATTTTTTTTTTTCAAAAGGGTAAACTGATTGCTCTCTACCAGTCACTTGAAACCTTCGCTTCCTCCCAGGTTATGTTAAAGATTCTGATCAAACACGATGTTTCTGTTGTCTTACATACACGGAGCATTTATGTTGTAATACAACATATTTACGCCGCTGTGTTCTGTTTACTTTGTTTGAGGGTATTTTCAACTTCAGATTACAGTATCTTTGGTTCTTTGTCTTTTGCTGATATATTTTACAAAAGTATGAGAAACAAAATCGCATACGCTCCATTAGTGCTTGACTGTGCGAGCAACTGGCTACTGGTGGTCGACCATCCTGGTCACGAGAGGTACCCAGAGGTAATCCAAAAAACCGACCAGCAACCCGACATAGTCCTACACTCTGCGCAAAACCGTCAGCTCATCCTAATTGAGGTGGCCGTGCCGTATGAGTCGCTAATATACGAAAGTCATATGTATAAGTTCGAGACACACAGTGACCTCGCGGCTGGTCTAAGGAGACACGAAGCGTACGTAGTACAAATTTTCGCCGACGAGGTAGGCGCAAGAGGTCTTGTCTCCACATCCAGTTACAATGTGCTCAAACAGGTGGGCTTGCGAGGGAATCAGCGTAAAAGGGGACTAACACAATTGGGCGAGGCTGCTGAGAGAGCCTCGAATTGGCTCTGGACACAGCGAAAGATTACGGGGGATGGACCTCGGTAGGCTGGTCTCAGTCCCTTGAAACAAAAGAATGTTATCACTTCAAAAGCCAATTGTCCAAAGTGTTCGTCAATGTCTCTCTGTCAACTGCTAAATCTAACACATAAAGCAAAGTCTAAATTTGTATATCTGGGTCCAGAACACGAGCCTATCCTAACTACAGAATATGCATACTATAGGGGCTGTAGTGCGTCCAACAATCTCGCTTACCACTCGACCACAGGTAGAAGAAACTGCCGCGGCGTGAATAAAGCACTGCAACAGTGAACCCAATCGTCTCACCAGTTACCTGTTGATTACACCGTCGTCTCATCTCGATCTAGAGCAGCTGGAGAGTACTGGGGCATGGTGTCATGAACCAGGTTGACCCACCTTTTGAAATTGTTTAGGAAGTAACGGGCCGAAACAGTTACCGACTAAGGATTTTCTACTGATAATCGGCATACCCCTGCTGTGCATGCTCCCCTGTGGAGTTTTTTTCTAATTATAGTCTAATGGTTTATCTTTTGTTCCACAGGTTAACAGCTCTCTGAAATATTTATTCCATCTGTTTTGGAAATCTTTACTGGTGGAGAGCGGTTTTCCTTTTTGCTCTTTCTGTTAATAATAGCCGCTCCTTAATTTTGTCTTCTCTCAGTAGCATTGTTTTGACACTTCTGTAAAACATTTTTGTTGAATCAGTGCAAAGTTTCCTTACTTGTTCTCCACAGTCTGCTTAAACTTCTGATTTTGCCGCTTTCCCTTTCCTTGTGATGTCTCTTCTAGTTGTTCTATAGCTAATCTAGTCTTCTTGTCTTCCGCCACTTAGAGAAACATTTTTCGTTTTCCAGGATAGACTTTTACCATTTGCATTCATCAAAAAATTTTTTTTTTTTTTTTTTAATGAGTGCCCAGCACTTTAAAGCCGCAGATTAATATTTGTGTGTGCTTCTCTAAGGGTGTAGAAGGTAATTCTGACTGCTCTGTCTATTTCCGCCACACCTTCTATATCTTCAGGTATACGACAGAGAAGATGACTATTATGAGTAGGAACACCATCATCAGGAATAGACAGAGAATAATCATAAAAGCACTGAAACAGGAAACAAATAAATGGGGCATCAACAACGTCCAAGATAAACAGTGCGAGGGCAACAGCATAATTGGCTAGACCTTTAGGCCTATAGGAGGTGTACCGATACAGCACGACGAAACGAACTGCAGCTCAGATTTCTACGCAGACAAATTCCGCCGTCCATATGAAGTGGTAGAGAAACACTACTGAAATTAATTTTTACAGCAACACTATTGAAGTTTATTTTTACAGCTGTTTCACAAAAATAAAAATGGTCATGATTCACTATTATTCTTGTTAACCAGACCGGATACATTTCTAGAATGTATGCGTGTTATTCCCCTCCACCCCCTATCCCACCCTCACCTTGCCCCCCCCCCCCCTCTACACCCTTTCCTTCATTGTTCTGTGTATATCCATCCCCTATTCTCTTCGAGGAGAAAAACACAAACTTTTTTATGGGGGAAAAAGGGGGGGGGGGGGGGGGGGGGTGGTGGTTGTTTGTCTGTGCGTGTAGTTCACCAATGATTTTATGCAGCATGTTTTTCTCATGAACTAATTTCTGACTGTATAACTTCTGGGCTCTCCTCTGGTCATTCAATAAAATCTCATGTAGGTGTATGTCAAATGGCGGGTTTGAAAAGTCTTCAGGGACCATGCCTGGTACCGGTAGCATATAAATAATATGTATAAGTTGTATTTTCGTATGAATACTCGCATCTTCATGTTATAAAAATTCAAAGTAAATTAATGACTAACAATAATCCTTACGTTACACGTGTCCCTCTAGGATCAGCTGCACTTGAGGATCTGACAGTGACGTTCTCAAACAGCAAAACCGACGTCAGCTGTAGCGACTTGAAGAAAGTAGCTGTGGACAGCAAAACCCTGGACGTGCACTGTAAGACCACCCAAGAAATCGACGCAGTGACTTTGAAAGGTGCAGTCGTTACCAGACTGTGCTCGGTCTATGTCAGCGGTGGTAAATATACTGCATGTTTTAACTCTGTACAACTTAGATAAAAAAGCTGCATGTTTTAGCCCTTTTTGTATCACGAAGGTATTAACTATAATGTGTGTTTTAGCATGTTATGTATCGAGGCGGTAAACATACTGCATTATTAAGAACTGCTTATCACAGTGGTGAATATCCTGCATATTTCAGCGCTTTGTGTATCACAGCGGTAAATATACTGCATGTTTTAGCACTGTGTTTCACATCATGTTTCAACTTTGTGCATGTTGTAGCGGTACATATACTGCCTGTTTTAACACTCCGTATATCACATGAATAAATATACTGCGTGGTTAATCTTTTTTTGGAACACAGTGTTAAATATACTACGTGTTTGAATTCGATGTGTACAACATGAGTAAATATACTGCATTCTTTAAATCTTTGTATGTCTCGGGTGTAAAATATACAGCATGATTTTACTCTGCGTACCACGTGTGTAACTATACTGCATGTTTTGAACTCTCTGTGTACCACATAAGAAAATAAAGCAGATGTATACATTCACAGTGTACAACATGATGTAACATACCGCTCGTGTCACGTACCTGATTAAGAAGGTCTCCTTATGAACCAACAGCACTTTGAAATAGTATAAATGTTAAGATGTCGGCTCGTATTAGTCTAGACGGTATCCTTCGGCTAATATACACCCAACCTATTTCAGGAGTAGGGCAACTCAAGCTATGGCACTACATAATATATATATATATATATATATATATATATATATATATATATATATATATATATATATATATATATATTCCTAGGCGCAACTTGGCCGGACGTCCCCACTACTACAAGAAAATAGCTCCCAGACTTTGATAGTGTACTATCACAGTGATGTTAACACAGATACAGATTATTACTATAAATACATGTACTCCAGACAACTAAGAACAGTAAATAAAAGACACTCAAGTCAAGAATGAAACATTCCAAAGGCATAAAATAAATTCAACCTATACATCATATAAGAATCAAGCAATGAAATTCAAGAACAACCATAAAGATGAAAGACCAACACCACAGTATGTTTGACTAAACCTCGGAGATTCACGGAGACCGTCTACTTTCATTTCTGTGAATAAGAGTGGACAATTAATGTATGAGCCTGGAGTTTAACCATTGACTGATGCGACTTATCTGTTTATACTTCGGAGTCACTGCTCTCATCTGGTTCAGGGTTACTTAAACAGGCTGACCTTCCGGGAATGTTCTATCAGATGTTAGATATGGTAAACATAGTCAAACTCTGATGTCAATCACTGGAGCCCAGACAAGCTCCTGGAGAGGGTATTCTGGAAAAAAGACTGTTACTGGTTGCCCTGAACAACTGCTGGGAAAAAAAGAATGATAAAGATGCGTCACCCCTGATAATGTCTGTAGACAAACTGTTGGATCGCTATCTGTTGGATGACAAGTGGTGGCCTGTAAGAAGATGCCTGCAAAAAGTGACTTACACCTTGCTTGCTTCCATGCTGGTAGTTATGTGGACTGCTGATTGACTGCCTGGCTTCCAAGGTAATATCATCCTGTGACAAGAAGGAACTCAGAATTAGCAGTCATCTCTCTCACAGTTCACATGCCTAGCTCATTTTATGATCATCCACATTTAGCAATAACTTAGAGGTCAGTCAGTCAGTATAAGAGACATAAGACAAGGTCCACAGTGGAGACAGATAGATTCTATCAGACAGAGAACATCATCTCTCCACACCCATATCTGCCCTGCAGTCACATAGACCACCACTCTCCCACATATGTATATATTATTTTCCATAGACTGACCCTAGCCTACCCTGTGTTGTTTTAGAGTTTCCTATAAATAACCCCTGACGTCACTGTGTGTCTCTCGCTGCGCGAAGAAGATGTGCGCTGACCCAAATAAATCGGCCGGCTTCGAGGTCGCCAACCGAATTCCCAACTAGTTAGTTAAGGCACGATTGGACTGATATATTAATTCATGTATACTAGTATTGGTTTAGGTAGATCACATACTCTCAGCTTGAAAAGGGAAAGGGTGGATTCAGGACGCCGGGAGTCTTTTGACACCAAGAACAGTCTCGCTCTGTAATCTTGCATAGCCGAATCATTCCTTTCCTTAGCAGCGGGTTAAATATATAGATATAGATACATGGTACTCGTAAACTATATTCGACTTACCCAAGCTTAGGATTCCTCCAGGTGAAAAACTGGTACTTTGTACTAGACAGAATTAAGCACAGAGACAAATCACTTCTGATCTACACGGAAGCCCGGCTGAGAATAAGAGGGACGCTTGATGTCACTTACAAAGAAAGTTGCCCGCCAGATCAATACGCTGAGGAGTGAATCGTCTTCTCGGATTGAGAATATTAACACAGAGAATCTCTACCCTACACTGTAATTTTGAAAATGTAGACTTTTTAAGAGACCCAGGACATATATAAATATTTATTCCGTCACAATTCGGGTATAAATAGACATGATGGAATATATACCCATCGGAAGTCTCCATTTTTTAATGTGACCTGCCCGCTAGGGGGGTCATGAATAGTCTAAAGTCCAAGGGTGGTTTTGGTCATTCCACAACACAGGGATACAAGTAATAACAGTATTTAATAGCAAAATGTTGTAACAAAATCAGCAGGCATTGCCGGCAATCTATATTACTTCGAAAAACCACACATTAAAAAAAAAAAAAAAAACTAGTAAACAAGCAGCAAACCTGCTGGTCGATAGTTTTGCAGAGGAAAGCAATTTCTTTATATCTAGAGCGAGAGAAGGAAAAATGATGAGAAAAATGAGGAAAACCAATCAAAAGCAAGAAACTAACCAAGATGTAATAAATAAACTCTTCAGTTCTAAGAACTTGAATGCGCATTAAGGTACCTTAGGAAAAGAAAGGCGCCTGATCGTACAACAGATGGAATGATAGTACACTTAGCACCAGCTGGTAGGCAACCACTCCTAGACCTTATCAGTCAATAATAAACACAGGGACTACCTCCCCAGCAGTCAGGACAAAAAGGTCCAAGAAAAATTAAATCAGCTACCAATAACCCTCCTAAGCAGCCTTGGAACGACCATTTGAAAGATTGGTGAACAACAAGTTACCTAATTTCCTGGAAGAAAACAAGATATTAGATGATATGCTTCAAGAAATACAGAAGCACTGACTACCAAACCTCTTTTATCGCACAGAAAATTGAATATGATTTCCAGAACTAAAATACAATTTTTTTTTGCTCTTTTTTTTCGACTTTATTACAGCCTTCGATACGGTCTAGAAAAAATGACTCTTGTTAAAACTATCACACCGTGGGATAAAAGGGCATATGTTTGCCTGGATTAGATACTTTATTTACAGACGCTGTGCGAGAGTCAGACTATAAGAGCACAACAGCAAGTTGGTCAAGTTACAAAAAGGTGTCCCCATGGAGGTATTATATCTCCTAACCCTGTTTATTCTTTTCATCAATGACCTCCCTAAATAGTTCACGACTCACATTCCCAAGGCCCTAAATGCAGATGACCTGGTCATGTGGACCCAAGCTGAACATATATGACTAACTAAAATAAGCATGCAGGAAGAAATAAATACAGTAATGAAATGGACAGACTCTTGAGGAGTCACAATAAACCAGACCAAAACCTTCACGATTATCTTATCTCTTTCCACAAAGATAGAAATGTCCATATGTACCTAGGTGGCAGCATCCTCATAAAAGAGGAAAACCACACATAAATTGGAGTAAAGTTTGACAAATGAGTAACCTATAGCCCCCACATTGAAGACACCCAAGGGATAGCTACCCTGCGACTCATATACGTGCAGAAACTTATGGAACAAGCTAGGGTGCAGATGCCAGCGCTGTACGACAAGTATACACATGATACGTACGATCAAAACTAGAGTATAGCATGTGAACATACTCCATTGCAGCTAAATCAGATCGATACAGACTGGACAAAATACAGAATACTGGTGTCTAATTATCACTGGAGGTATGATAAGCACATTAATCAATTAGCTGGAGGCTAATTCTGGCCTCTAGAGCTTTGGCTAGCGAAGTGAAGAAAAGGTTCTTACCCTAACAGAAAAATTAGAACTCACGAATAACAGCCCTATATATGGTCTAGGCAGTATCCCGCATCTCCAATGAACATCCAACCTACTTCAGGGCGTGGGGCGACTCAAATTAGGGCGCAACAGAATCAATAAACATTCCTAGGTGCAGCTTGGACTGACCTCCTCACTACTTTTAAGCCCCCAGACTAGATAGTAATCCTATGTTAGTCAAATTAATAAAAGTATAACCTAAAGTATAACAATACAACAAATATTCCAGACAAGTTAGAACTGTGAAAGATGGATATTAACCACAGAATGTAAAATAACAAAACATCATTTAACCAGTGCAACATATGTTGGTATATGAAGAAAAGAATTAGGCAAGAGTAATCAAACCATCTAAGGAAGCAAAGAATAATCTATACTAGATGGACTCCTGGATTGTACCTAGTAACAGCAGTTGTCGTCACTGTCAAACTGTCACTTTATTTATGGCCTCCTTCCGCATCTGGCAGTGCAGGTATGCAGTCTTGTAAATATCCTCACTAAAGTTATGGCTAAGCATTCGCAAAAGTTAACCGAAATGAATGTCTACACAAATACCATTCCAAAATGCTCAATGGTATAAGAGGGGTCCGTTGTAATTTAACGTTAAACGCTAAAATCTATGCCACCCTCTGGTCGTAGCAGTTCTTGGCAACCGCTCACATAAATGGCTTCTGGGCTGAAGATACAAGCTGATGGTGACCATCACAGGACTACAGACTATTGTGGACAATGGAGCCACTGACATGGTGCTTGGTCAGAAATGAGTTCACTGAGGATCCCTCCTAAGACATGACTTTAATTACTTTAATCTTCCCGTGTTACTTGATTGCGTTTAGGCCGTTGGAATGTGTTATTATTATTGCATTCTAGTGTATTATGGAACGATTGGTATTCGATGATCTTGAGGTGTCGATCAGTATTTGATGATCTTGAGGTGTCAATGAGTATTCGATGATCTTGAGGTATCGCATGCTTTTCGTACTGTAGGAGGTTTCTACCAAATGTTCTGCCACGCTTGTTAGTGTTGAGCTGTGACATGAATTCCCCCTGCCAGAGCTTGTTAAACAGGAATTTCACTCTAGGCTTCGGTTTAACACTCTCCCAGTGTTGTAATCGTTGCTAGATCTTAAAATTTTTAAAACAGATCCGACTAGAGGGATCGGGTGTCGACAATTGTATGTGTTGCTTAGTGCAGATAGACCACTGCACTTCACCACACTATCGTCGGCAACACTTTTAGTGCAACCAACAGGTTTTCCGAATTGTAGAAGGATAGCCCTAGTTTTACGTTGATCTGTGCGTAGACTTACACATGTTTTTCTCTGCTACCATAGATGACTGCTCTTGCACTATCACTGTCTACAACTGTTCTGTTGCGTTTCTGTTGTTAGATGGCCGAAAAAAAGCTTGGTTCGTGGACTTTTTTTCTAAAAGTGTTAGTAGCCTTTGGATTTTTTTTTGTTTGGACGGTCTTCATTTCTGTAATTACTGTTCCAATCCTTAAACAATAGTACACGGAGTGTTGCAACTTCGCCTTCAATCTCCCCCGCTTACATTCCTAAAACACCAGACTTGTATTTCCTGTCTGTGATTGGAAATGGTTCTACCCGATATCTGGTTTGTAGCTAATCTCAGGTCCTCTTGTTGGGGATATATTGTCCAAAACAAAGTGTCCTCAGCGTCTTTTGTTCGGACGAGCTTCATTTCTGAAATGACTCTGTTCTTATTCACTCTGGTTCCAGTCACTTGCAGACTCCTCTTTCATGCACCAACAGTCAACACCACGAGTAAAAAAAAGACGACAGTGAACGATACAATGCGGTTTCCCTCTTCATTCTCCACTCGCTGTTTCTTCAGCCAATTCATGATGAGGTAACAAACGTTTACTCAAATATACAAAGATACGGATCGACTTTACCTTTTAGCCGAAAACAACTTTCATTGAACAATAGCAGTTAAAACAAAACAACTGTTCTCCATGACGGTAACGAACAAAATCATCTGGTAGACAATTTCCGTCGGTCCATGCTGTCTGGCCAGGTAAGGCGTTGGAAACTCCACAAATACATTCAGTCGAAGAGACACACTTCTCCGCTCTCCTTGCATACAGTTTCTTGGCCCAAACGAGACTGTCCACGTGCTCTTTGTAAGGCATTATATAATCTTCTACCGCCCACTTTATAATTATGCCCGCAAACGACTTGCTCGTGTTCTCCGATACACACGGGTTTCATTTGCCAACATTTTCTCCATGCATCTTGACTTTGCACTCGTTACACTTAAATATCTCAATTATATTTATTACCTGACTTAATTCTTTTTGTAACATAACTTATCAAGACGAAAATGGTTCACTACATCCATGTTTGCTTTTGTTTTTTTTTACCCTGTCGTCCTTTTTTGTTATTGTTGTTGTTGATTTTATTGTCCTACTATTTATTATTATTATAATTATATTTCTACAGCGTGTTATGAGTTGTGACTTTTGTTTAAATCTAATTGTATCAGAGGTCATAGGTCAATCAGGTGCCATCTCCACAGTAAAGAATAGTTACATTGGATCTCCAACACGCTTTGTCACTTGTCTTATGTCTATTTGTTCCTAGTATAGGTTACCAACAATTATGATCTCCTATCCTTCTAATCCTATATTTAGGAGTGCATGCAATTAGCGTTTAATGTTGCACCAAGTCAAAAGTCTTATAATATAAGAAGTATTGCATACATTTTTGGACTTCTATATATATTTTTTTTTTCAGCAATCATCTTTGAACAAATTATGGCTTTCTTATATCCAATATTTGTCTCGAATCCAACCTCTTCCTGAGATACTTCATTCTTTTTTTCACTTTGAATTCTTTCCCTAATATCTTGAGAAGTATTTTCGTTTTATGGCTCACACACACACACACACACACACACAAAAACTTTTATATAAAACGTTTACATAATTTACACTTAACTAAATTTGACTTGTTGCGGATTGTGATGAAAATGGTCGTTTTCAAATCCTTTGGAATGTAGCCAACATTATAAATATAATTGCACATGTCAGTAATGCCATCAGCACTAAATTGGATAGTGTTTTTATCATTACAGTTGTTATTTTGTCAGGTCCTGCGGCTGTTCAATGCTTTATATTTTTAAAACCTTCTCCACTTCAGCTTTTAAAATGTTTGGTTCATGGTGAAGATTAAATAAACAGTTCTGGTCCGATGTGTCTGTTATCCCAAAATAGGTCCTCTGTGTTTTCAGTCCACCTTGTGATTTGTTCATGCTTATCAACTAAAATGTATCCATATTTTTCTCTAATGCAACCATTTCATGTTGAATTTTCTTTTCTGTTTATAATCTCTTTGCTGATTCATCGTGTTAGATTAGTATTTGTCGCCTTATGTTCATTTCATCAGATATGTTGAATCTGGTTTTCTACAGGTGTGTTTAAGCTGGTTTCAAGCATCTAATTTTATCAAATATCATAATCATCAAGTCATCCTCATCAGCATCATAATCATCATCGCCATTTAGTTCAGTTGGTTAAAACTATCTGCTCGGCGACTGGGTGACGAAATCCTTGTGGTCCGAGTTCACACTAGGGAGTAGGCAGAAAAGCCAGAATTCTTTGAGATTTACGGTACCTATCATGGAATAAGGCCGAAGGGCTGAGATATCCAAAGTACCGAGCTAACGGGTATACAATTCATGGTTTCTGATACTTGAGAAAAATAACCAATTTCCTAAATGAGCTATTGTCCAACCATTCCCATGTATCCTGGCCATCAAGACACGTGTCTCTTTGTTTTCCCAAGTCTCTGATTCTAATAATTGTACCATTTGTCACTAAGTTGTCGAGGTTTATCGCTACAGCCATACACTACTACATATTATTATTTTAGAGAGAGAGCAAGAAGAAAAAGCAGGAGAGAGAGAGAAGGAAAGAAAGAGAGAGAGAGAGAGAGAGAGAGAGAGAGAGAGAGAGAGAGAGAGAGAGAGAGAGAGAAGAAGAAGAAGAAGAAGAAGAAGAAGAAGAAGCTCATAGCTACAGAAAAGAACATAATATTGTCATACATTTAACAATTGAATTCCTAATGATTTCATGAGTAGCTTTGTTCAAATTGTACAGAATAATACCTTAAGGTTCAAACAATCAATTGACAGTTCTTTTGTATCTGGTCATCGATTGTGTTTAGGCGTAGAGCTTTCCTGGCAACAAACAGAAACGGGAGATCAAATGTATATAAGTTTTTTGTTTAAACAGTAATGGTAATCATTTCTTAATATACTGCAATCATTGTGGTCTGGAGATCAATAGCTACAATAACTATTAAAGGTAATCGGTGAGTCATGTATAACAATCTTTGGCAGGTCGCAATGTGGCGCTGAAGGAGATTGCTAAGCAAGATTCGACGTGTTCTGACTATTATAATAGCACACTGCAAGACTATCCAGCTGAACTGGCAGTGGACGGTGATCTTCGAAACCGTCATTTTGAAAGGAGTTGCTCCTGCACCACAGGGACAGCTACATGGACTTTGACTTTGTCACAGACACGCATGGTGAACAGATACAATGTCTACAACAGTGGAGATTGTAAGTATGTGGTTGCTTGTTTATGCATTGATGGTTTTTGAAAATAGTGTGAGATGATAATAAACTAGGGTTCATTAAAATTCGGTTCTGTTCTTTTCAGTCCGGTTACATTTTGCGCTGATCCGCAAAATTTATTTGTATTCAGTAAATTTCCGATTACGTTTATTTAGTTAGTTGAGTTCGATTAGGTTTCTTTCGACTAAGTTTAGTTCTATTCAGTTCCATTGAGTCTAGTTTTACACACTTCAGTTCGATCTCATTCAGAGCAGTTGCTTTCACTGCGGCTTCATTCAGTTTAGTTTTGTTTAGTTCAGTCCCTTTTTACTCTTGTTGTATTCATTTCAGCTTCAGTTTTATTCACATTGATGACATCAGTTACCAACAAGGTGTCTTTATTTTTGTATCGAGACAATTGTAATATGCACTCTTGTTAGACTTATATATACATGTGGATATCATCAGGTGCCTTGCCAACTGGAGTGGGCGATCATGCCTCCCTATAATCTGCGATCTCCTGCAGCATGTATCAGTTCGTGTGCCGACACACCTCCATGCCATGCAACAAGACTCTCAAGCATCTTCTCTAGTTGTCTTTCTCTATCCCTTCTTCCATAGATCTTTCCAGTGGTCCCAACATGTTCCATTTTTCCCTTTTTCAAAATATGACAGAAAAATTATGACTGTCTCCTTCTGATGTCTGTAATAAGTTGTCTTCAGGCTCCCGCCTCTTTCAAAACCTCTTGGTTGCTCTGTTTGGCTGTCCAATGTATTCTAAGCATTCTTCTGTAAAAATACATCTCTGAGGCCTCTAGAAATTGTTTGGCCTGCCTACCAATTGTCCAGGATTCATAGCCATATGTTAAAACTGCATGTATGTAGCAAGCAAGAATTATTTTTTGTAACTCTCAATGACAAGGATATATTGCACAAGATGTTTTTCATTTAATAAAATGCAGTTTTTGCATGTCCTATTCTGTTTCTTTTCTCCGTTATGGATCTTCCATCTGATGTTATCCATGTACCCAGATACTTAAATTTATGGACTTCTCCTAAAATAATCCCACTGACTTTTATTACACATTTAGGAATAATTTGTTTCTTTGATACCACCATTACTTCTGTCTTCCCATTATTCAAAATGAAACCAATTCTTCCACTTTCTAACAACACAATGTCTATCATTTCCTGTAGTTCTTTCTGACTTGTTGCTGTCAAGACTGTGTCATCAGCATAACGTAAATTGTTTATAGTGTGCCCACCAACCACAATTCCGGGCATATCAATTAAAGATTTCATTATATATATATATATACATTTATAAATTACACACATTTATCATCATTATTTTGGTACAGTTTGTTTTTTCAGGTCTTGGTCAGATGTGACTGAGACACTGTAATATATTTGCTTGTATTACCAGTCTTCTATTAAAGCTGACCGTTTGCCTTCGTATACTAAAGTTGACTTTTCATTTTGTGCTAACAACTTAAGGCGGAGGAGCACACTGGAACGAGACTAACCGTTTTCTAGAGAGAAAAAAATGCGACATGTAAACTGCATATTATGGCATAGTAGATTATGGCCTCAGCCTTGGCTGGTAGCTGGCACGTGTGCTTCAGTGGGTGCTGGGAGCTGAAGTAACACCTGCATCGCAGACTGTAAAAGCCAGGCACCAGGAAATAAAACGAAACATAACTTTAGCATGGAAACCAAAGAAAGGCGGATACGAATAAAATAGTGGGGTAAGGGGGCCTCTAAAAGCATCATGATGTTTAGGGTGATATTGGGAGCTTGGGTTGGGGAGGAGGGGGGGGGGCTGAGTGCTTTAAAAGCCATATGACGTTAAGGGTGATGATAGGGGGGGGGGGGGTTTATAGCCACTATGATGTCTAGGGTGACAGGAACAAGACCAATCTGTATGAAATATCGCGTTGTGGAATCCATCAAATTAACAGCCATAATTGGTGGATCTATGACAAGGATAAATTCCTTCGCAAAAAGATACAGCAATAGATCTAACCATAAAGACACAAAAAAAGGCAGGCATTCATGAAAGAGGTACGAAAGAAAGACAAGGTAAAAAATTAGCAAGAGTTTATAACACAATACGCAAAGAAGAGTGAAAACTAAAAATTAAAAATAAGGTTAAAAAGCAACAACAACAAAATTTAAAAAAAAAACAAAAACCAAATGGAGTAATCAATGAGCACACATCAGGCATTCCGAATGTCGGTAGAAGAAGGACCCAGTGAAGTTGTGGAACGAGCAATGTACAACAGCAGTGGAAAACAGAAAACAGGCTTTTCAAGAATACTTACAAATCTAATAAATAGGACAATCTTCAAAGCAAAAACACAACAATAGAGATACTTTTGCCAAACTTTGGAACTACAGGCGCAAACCAGCGAAGTACGAAAACAGATAAGTGAAAAAATATTTTATACACAAGAAAAAGACAAAATATAGCAGAAACAAACAAAGATAAGGCAGAAGTTTTTGCGAAATCATTTTACAATATCCGCTCACACCCGAAATAAGTGGAAGAAGAGCAAACGAGAAGGAAATAGATCGTGGAAGCATTAAATTCAAATATTTACCATAGTAACCCTGACAAGAAAACCATAAATGAAGCCACCCCACCCCTCCTCTAACATGATACTTCCTGACAATAGACGTTTATGTATCCTTTTGTAGTTTGCCGTCAAGTATCAGCATGTGATGTCAACATGTACAGTATTCTAACAGAATTATATTGTCACCAATCAGTCAATCTAAAATGTCTTTACCCTAGGTCAATCATTTGAGAACAAAGCATATGGAGCATATTCATAGGACATGTAAACTTAATAGGCCAACATTTCCCCAATGGGTAAAAATGATGTTTACAATCTTTCATTTACATTTCTCTCTCTCTCTCTCTCTCTCTCTCTCTCTCTCTCTCTCTCTCTCTACATTTTCTCTCTCTTCTTCTTTCTCTCTCTCTCTCTCTCTCTCTCTCTCTCTCCTCTCACTGCTTGGTGTATAACCAACACACTTATGAACTTTCAATCTTTTTCTTTACTTTTGGTTGGTTCTGTGCTAACATTACTGTCATATAATAGTACTTTCCCCATCCCTCTAATTTTGTGATTAAAAACAAAACTGTGGGTTATCTCTTTCTCTGCAAGAATGGCATCTGCGGGTGGTTTATTGTGTGCGAGCACTTTTCTTCTCCTACAAAGGAATGTTTATTCAACATTCACACTTGCTATTTTCGCCTTACGTTTTGCGCTATCCAGTATATAATCTACTGTTTCCCCTGTGTAGTCTGATTTATCCAATTGGGACTTTTTAACAATAGGGAAAGATGTGCCAGACGTTCTTAGCACAGAACCTGTTTGTCTTTTATGATACCATTACATCTTCCCCGGTGTGTTTCAGCATTGCATGCTGCAATCAAACTGTCATATATTATCTGACCATCTCGCAGCATTTTTCTTCGCGAGGCGCTGGTGTTATTTTGATAGGCGCCTTTGGTGAGCAATCTTTTACTTGACTGGAAGCATCTGCTACAGCAGCTTCACCAGTTGGTTCATGTTAAGGGAGTTAAGTGTCTCCCATCATCTTAGATGTTCTACTTACAACACACTGTTCCTGTATTAATTCTGAGCCTGCATTACTTTCTTGGTTAATCTTAGTAATACCTGGACACACAATCTGGATCCTAATAATTTTAATTGTCTGTGTTGTCAAATGTTTACTCTGTTGTAGCATACGATCACACAGCATACAATAACTGTTAGGTTTATCAGGTAACTCTGACGGTGTCTTGCATGCAGTGGTCTTAGTTACAGCTAATGTTACAATACCCTTTTGTTTGATATATTTCAACCCTGGGCATTGTGTACGAGAGTGCCCTTTAAACTGACAAAGGAAACATGTTTTCCCCCACTGTCTTTTGGTTGCTTGTCTTAATCAACAAGCGCTATTTTTTTTTTTTTTGGTTATGAGTCTATAAGGAAACAGTAGGTGTTTATCAAACAAATCGTTTTTTTTTTTTTTTTTTTAAATGAAGTAATTCACATTATTTGCAGATAGAATTGAACAAACGATGTAGTGTAAAACTTGACATACAGCTTTATTTACTAACAATGCAATTCCCAGTTTGTTGATTTAAATAAACTGTTAGGATAGAAATACCATTTGGTGGGTGCTCAATTAATATGATAATAATTCTTTAATTATTCATAATAACACCGGGAGAAGGTAGATGACGGAGGAATCATTTGCCCTGTCTAATAATTCATTAAGTATAATGCTATAGACATCTAAAATTCCTTGCCTTCTCTTGTGGGTACCAAGTGCAGCTAATGTTAAAGTACTTAACGAGCCAATATGGTTGTTTACTTGGGTATCCAGGACTTTGTCTGAGAGCAACATAGCTCAGATTTTAGTTCCGTTAATCTGGTGGAGGGAATGTGTTGAGAGAAACATCCCTACTCAACATTATAAACCATTAATCCACGCGTCAGTTTGGTTGCATTTAAAGAACAAACACAGTGCCCTCTGTCGCGACTCGAAGAGTCTGTCCCAATTCAGGCCCATCTCGCTGTTGGATGTCGAGGGTAAAATATTCTTCTCGGTCATGGCTCACCGGCTCACACAGTATATGATGGCTAACAAGTGCATCGATACGAGTGTTCAGAAGGGTGGCATTCCGGGCGTTCCTGGGTGCCTTGAACATGCGACCATGATTTGGGAGGCTATTCAGAAAGCCAAGCATGAGAGAACCCAATTATACGTAATA